TGCTTTACAGTCTCTCAAAGCAAAATGCATTAATATGGAAGTGTACGTGGAGATAGTATCCCCAGAAGATGAGCGCTGAAGCATAGGTTCACAAGAAAAACAGCAAATTCGTACGACCATTGATAACCTCAGAGATGCTCCGTCCCCGTACTACTTGGACTAGATAACTGCGGAGATAGGCTTTTTGGATAAATTTTGAGAATTTCTTAAGCCATTTAAGGATCATACACTCAGTTTTCGGGCTTCCATCTCATTCTAGGACGGTTGAGCACTGCCCGCTAAACTGCAAAATTATAGACTGCATTAATCTCGGCCGACTCGGTGGGGCGTATTGTTGGTTTGGAGCAGAAAGACCAAAATTGGAGGCTTGAGACCCTGATGCTGGATAGAGCTTTAGATGTTGCTGAAGTACCTACGGCGGCCCCGCAGATTCGTTACGTAACGGCCCTAGGGTAGCCTTAAGACGTATGTCAGTCTTAGTACCGAAATCAGGGCCTCATAGCTTGTCATTTCTTGCGGAGGCTTAAGACCTCATTTTAGCCTCTGGGGTAATAAACAGCGCCATATCTTTTTTTTTTTTTTAAAGATATTTTTTTTTACGGAGACCCGGCATCTTCAATTAAAAACACAGTGAATTATCCCGGCTGTAGTGGTTGACTTGGAAGTATTTCTGTTGACGGGGACCCTTCGGCAAATTTTTCATGGTGTTGCGTTTTCAGGTGGTCGAAACAACTCACTGTACAGTGAACCAGGCGGAAATTGCATTGTATGACAACAACAACGATGTACAGGAGGCGGTTAATGCAATCCTGGAGGACAACTACCCGGACGAGAATGTTTGGCAGGAGCAGAAGAGCAGACGAGCGAAACGAGCCGAAGCGGCCGAGGAGATGAATAAAAACGAGGAATCGAACTCGTCGCACCGAAACCGCACAACGAACAGCACACGCGGCACAAACAACTATGGTACGCATCGCTCACAACAGTGTCTTCACGTGCTACAGCTTCTCACATCAAGTAGTTCATTTACCCAAAAGCGGTCGTCGGCCGTGCTCAGAAAATTTCAGCATTTTATCTACTTTGCGGAGCAGCGTCAAATTTCACATGAGATGTGAACGGGTGCGAAAGATCAATTTACCCTCAAGACCCCGTAAGAAGATTAAGAGACAAGCTTTGGTGTGTGTGTGTGTGTGTGTGTGTGTGTGTGTGTGTGTGTGTGTGTGTG